CATGCATTTTGCCAACTGGAGTTCATTATTGTGAGTCATTTTAAAGGTAAAACTGACATGGCATGAAATATTCAATGTTTATACCACTCAGTGCATTTTGATAAATGTGTACATTCATTTAAGCCACACCCCTTTGAAGACGTAGAACATTTCCCTCACACTCAGCTTGTTGCCTCCTGCCCCTACCCAGTACATCCTGGCACCAAACCACTGCTGAGGCCATCACCCCTCGGCTGCTTTCCCAGAGAGCTGAGTTCTGCCAACTCTAGAACTTCCTATCAATGCAATCACACAGCAGGTACTCAGCTTTTCAGTTTCCTCCAAATTGTTGAACACCTGTATTTGTTTTCCTTGCTGAACAGTATTCCATCATACAAATATATTTCAACTTATTCATTCCCCTATGGAGTAACATGACTTTTTAAGTTTTTGCCATTATGAATAAAGCTGCTCTGAACATGTTCATATAGGCCTATGTTTCTTTTAACTATGGCTAAGCCCTGTAAGAACAGAACTGCTGGCTTCTCAGTGCATGGTTAGCTGTAAAAGAAACTTCCAGGTCTTTCCCCAAAGTGGTTGTCCCACATTACATTCCCAACAGGAACGTATTCTCTGCATCACTACCACCATGCGGCACAGACAGCCTTCTGGTGATGTTCTGTGCGGTGGAGACACCAGTTGGTGCTGATGAACATTCCCGTCTCAGTAACTGCTCCCACTGGCTCCTGCCCATCATGGTAAACCTTGCCTCATACAGCCCTCTCTCCCAAGATTTCAGCACAGAATTAATTTGGGGTTGTGGGAGGGGTCATATATCTCATTGGCCTATCTCTTGTAAGACCCTAGTAGAGAGAGGACCTTCATCTACTATTTGTTCAACTCCACTATGTTGCCTAGTAAGAAAAGCTTGCTCGCCAGGGCCACCATTGTGGCATAGCAGGTAAAGCCGCCACCTGGTAGGCTGACATCCCCTATGGGCGCTGGTTTGAGTCAGGGCTGCTCCACTTCTGATCCAGCTCTCTGCTATGGCCTGGGAAAGCTGTGGAAGATGGCTCAAGTGCTTGGGCCCCTGCCACACACATAGGAGAACTGCAAGAAGCTCTTGGCTCCTAGCTGTGGAACCAGTAGATGGAAGATCTCTCTCTCTCTCTCTCTCTCTCTCTCTGTCTCTGTCTCTGTCTCTCTCGATGTAATTCTGCCTTTCAAATAAATAAATAAATCTTTAGAAAAAAAAAAAAAGAAAGGTAAAGCTTAAAATATCAGGACAATCACCTGCCTATATCAAGTGGGTGATTCCAAAGTTATCTTTCGTTCCATTGTATACTTGGAGGCCAAAGATCCCAACTAAGAGGACATAAAACTTTAAAAACATTCTAGAGGAGATAGGATCCCAATATACATTCCAATGTATTATCCTTCTGTACTCCCTAAGAACCTTTCTTTCCAGGATTGCCACCACCCTGGAAGGCAGGAATGATGTTCCCAGTTTACCAAGGAAATACCTGCCCCTGAGCTGAGTGTCTCCAGCACAGTTTCTATGACCCTTGCTCAGACAAGAGACTTCAGAAAGTTTGTGGATAATGGGACTTAAAGATAAGCTGGGGTAGATATTTGGCACATTGGTTAATGCAATACTTGGGCTGCTCACACCTCATATCAGAGAGCCTACTCTACTTCCAGTTCTAGCTTCCTGATACTGCACACCCCTGGAGGCAGCAGGATCAAGTACTTGGGTCCCAGCCACCCACTTCTGTGTGCCATGCTCCTGGCTTAACCCTCAATGCTTGGGCATTTGGGGAGTGAGCCAATGGACACAGAAGATATCCCACCCCCTCTCTGCTGTCTGTGTGTGTGTGTGTGTTTATTTTTTAAAATAATATACTTTTCATTTAAATAAAGCTAAATTTTAAAAAAGAGAGGTTTGTTTTGGTGCAAAATATGTTGAAATCCATGCAGAATTTTTCATAACATGCATTTTCCATGAACTTTCTGAAGACTCCTTGTATGCATAGATTTCAAAATAAACTTATCTGTTAATCCCACCTTTTGTGAACCTTTGAAATAGCCTCAGACTAGTTCTGTGTGCATGGCTGTGCCCTCACAGGCAGCTCTGTGTGACCGACTCTGACACAGAGAGCTGTGTCACCAGCCTTCCCTCTAGGATGGCCAAAGTGCCCTTGGCATGCTTCCTCCACCACTGCCCACTCATGGCCCCATTCAGCTTCTGCTCGCATCCCTCCTCCTTCTCCCCCTCTTTCTTCCATCTCTGCCCAGTTACCTTGTAAAACTCTTGATCCCCCATCCTCTCTCTCTCTTACTCTTTTTTTTTTTTTTTTTTTTTTGACAGGCAGAGTGGACAGTGAGAGAGAGAGACAGAGAGAAAGGTCTTCCTTTGCCGTTGGTTCACCCTCCAATGGCCGCCGCGGCCGGCGCGCTGCGGCCGGCGCACCGCGCTGATCCGATGGCAGGAGCCAGGAGCCAGGTGCTTTTCCTGGTCTCCCATGGGGTGCAGGGCCCAAGCACCTGGGCCATCCTCCACTGCACTCCCTGGCCACAGCAGAGGGCTGGCCTGGAAGAGGGGCAACCGGGACAGAATCCGGCGCCCCGACCGGGACTAGAACCCGGTGTGCTGGCGCCGCTAGGCGGAGGATTAGCCTAGTGAGCCGCGGCGCCGGCTCTCTCTCTTACTCTTAAAACTGTATCCTAAGCTTGCCTGACAACCGTCCCAGTTTTGCTAGTGCCATAACGAAGTAGGGTATAATGAAGGTCTGAGGCCAACCATACGTAGGGCCCTTGAGAGTACCAGGAGGTCTATTTCCAGAAGCCCCACAAAGGAACCTTCTACCTTCCCTTCCTTCCTAATTAAAGCAGCTTTTCCTCAAGTACCAGCAATGCACAGACACAAAAAACTTGTTGTCTTCACTACTGGGCTTCTGCTTTAATTAATAGCCTCACAGCAGAATTGTTTTTTTATTACTTTGGTGACAAAGAGACAGAATGTCAGGTACATTTTGAGTTAAATGGCAACAATACGCCAATGACAAATCGTGTCCTGAATGCCACACTGGCTCAAACCTCTGGAATACAATCAATTTGCAAATTAGGACTTGCCTTTTTCTTCCTCTTCAGTTTGAAGCATTCATTATAAGAATTTCCTCTTTGGCATGTTTGTTTTGCATGTAGGTAATTATGAAGATAAAATAATACCATCCCCCCTTCTATGTATTATTCTTACCTACAAAGTAGTTATTCAGAACTGAGGGTTCAGAATAGTTTAGCGACTCCCAGCTAGTAAGTGGTTAGAGCCTGAATCACACCTTGATTCTTTTGGCTTTCAGCAGATGCTTTCTAGACCAGCCTGCTGTACTTCTCCCCACACTGCCTGATACCACCCAACCTGCAGAGGAAAACCTGCCGGCACAGACTTGGACAGGCCATGCCCGTGTGATCCACATCCCCATTATTCTCTGCTTCTCCACTATCTTTCTAAAAAATTTGCTTAGCTCTTAACAAATCTCAGGAAGGCAGGAAAAGAGATGGCAAAGACTCTGAAGAAGAAATGCATCTACCTATCTTTAGTAAATTCAGATCTATTTTGGAAAACAAAGCTGTATCTAGCAGAGACTCTAGCTGTGCAATTAATAATCAGCTTCTATTATGTATTCTCAATTGCTCTCACCTGGATCTCAGTGTCAATATGGGATTGTTTATGCACCTGGTCTATTCTGTCGCCCAACGTGCTGGGCTTTCCTCATTAACTTGCTGTGGTGGCTTTAACACAGTTTGGCTGATGAGATGCCTACTTGCAAAAGAGGCTTTGTCAGTACAGCACAGTTAAGGACAAAAGAATGGGAGCCCAGATTTGGTTTTAGTTGCTTAGCCTGGCTGTTCCCTGGCTTCTGCCACATGAAGCCAGATTCCATGGCTCTTTCAACTTGTCAGCTATTATATTTGTACTGACTTTTGTCTTTCCACAAGACTTGGGCACAGTGATAGGTAGGATCCTTTGTCTTCCACTCCAACATTGTTCAGACTCTCTTGCAGCTAGCTTTCTAATACAAACTAGGTTCCTAGGACTAGATGCATATATTCATGAGGTTCAGAAGTCACAAGTGAGGCAGAAACCACCTTCTTAGCCCTCTTCAAGCTTTTGTACTGACAAGCAAAATCACTGAAATGATGAGCTAATTTTTCAATGGCATTATTCTAATGCTTAATCTCTAAGTTCCTGGATGCTGAGAGGCCATTGAGGCAGATGGAGGCAGCAGCGTCATGACTCTGGCTTCTTGAACCCTGGCTACAGTCAAGGAGGTTGGATCTTGGGTACCTTTCTCCAGCAGGGATCTCACAAGTGCTGATTTCCTTGGTGGGTTGGCCATTAGCCCCGGGTCTTCCTCCCCCACCTCCTTCTCCACCATCACTGTAACCACTAACATTTCTCGTGGGTTCACTGTGTGCTATGAGCTAAACACTTTACATAAATTAATTCAGTTTAAGCCCCCCCAAAAAAACCCATGAGGGAGGGGACTAATATCTGCTGCTTTCCAGGTGAGTTAACTGGGGTTTAGAAAAGTTGGTTAAATTGCACAGGATCAAAGTGAGTGGGTAAGGAGTATAGTCACGCTTCAATCCCAGATCTGCCTCACTCCAAAGTTGGAGCTCTGCCTCTTTAACATTGAAGGCCTGGGACTTATTAGCAGATATTAATTGCCCACACACATTATGTTGTTGCAAAGACATCTTAATTTTCCCTTAAACAACACAGACACATAAGTCAGTTTATTTTGTGTGAAGATGCATCTAGATATCGAAGCAGTATTCAATCTAATTAAACTGGAAGCCATTATGAAACCCAGAGGGATAGCTTTGTGAATGCTTGCCTAGGACATACCAAGATCCTTTTAATAGTTGAAAAAAAAAAATAAAAAGACTTAAAGTGAAAGGACACATGGCCTTCTATTTGAAATGGACCAGGGCTAGGGGAGCAGACACACGCTTACCAGGCGCTCGGTGAAGGGCGAGGTTTCGGAAATGGCTGCCTTTGATCATCTCCACAGCTAGTCGCCCTGTTGTGGCATTGTAGGACAGCCCCACCAGCAGCTCTGGTGCCCCTCCGTGAGCCAGCGACTGCGTGGATGGGGCACTGTCACGGTGAGAAGCTGCAGAAGAGCTGAGCGGAGACTCTCCACCCTGGAGGGGAAGAACAACAAAGAACTCATTGGCCACACCGCACCCCTCGCTTTTAGAGAAAGCCCATATTATGTTCGCTGAAACTGGGACCCAATCTCGATGACTGCCAAAGATTACTAAGGGCACACTCAGTGTGAATTACAGTGGGCCCAGGGAACACAGTCATGGATGAGACCTCCTGCCTGATTAGCTGACATATTTGTTCCAAGAGCTGTCTCCATTCAATATTTCCTCTCTAAAGACAAAACAGACAAAGATGTTATTGCTGGTGTAAATCAAACCCTTAAGATACATGGAGAGCTAGCAATACTTTTAACAGAGACCGAGATTTCTTTCTGTGTAATTTGGGCCGATGAATTTCCAGGAACCCAGGTCTGAGTCTTTGCTTCTGTTCTGTGCAGCTTCTTGATGAATGTGGCCGCACAGGGGGTGTTTTGTCTTATCAAAGAGATGACCGCCCAGCCTCCACCACCATGTGGAACATTTGGCCCCTACTTCTGCTGCCCAAGGTTGTTTTGTCAGATGCTACCTGAACTACACGGAAAATGAGCACTTTTTCAGCACATGGACACGTGGATTTTGGATCTTAGTGACTAACAGGAGCCAGGTGAGAGCCCAAGCTGTCATGATTATTCAGGCACACACACGCCTTTCCTGAGCAACCAGGCACATGGAAGGGAAGAAAACAAAGCTCACGGGGACATGGATTCTCACTGAGAAGCCGCAGTGGGTCTTGGCCTGGCTGGAGTAAGCCAGCCCACATCCCTGGAACGCCATCTCCACCAGCCACCAATGCACTGGACTTTGCGTCTATCATTCTGCTCCACAGCTGAATCATTTCCTCAAACCTCTTATTAGGAACCCAACAAAGCAAACCAAGCAAAGGAATTAGATATCCCAAACATGTGGGGGAAAGGGGCCTATCTTCCACACCCCGGGCGTCTTTAGAGAGCCCTGGGTTTTCGTGCAACCCAACTGGTAAACAACAGGGCTAGGTGGTTTGGAGAGGTACCTTACAGCCTCTGCTGCCTAGAAGATAAAAATCCAACAATGAAACATTTGTTCCCATCGGCTAAGGACCTGACCCACCTTTGTGTTTCCACAGAGGTACCCGCCACTGTACTGCCTGCCTCGCCCATCAAATTCCAAGTCCATGTCAACCTCCCAGTCCACAGCGCATAAGGAATTGTGGCTTCTCAGGCTCAGTCCACAATGCCCAGCCTAATGCCCGGTGAAAATTAACTGATGAATGAAAGAACTTTCACCTTGAAAGCTCCTTCATGCTGGCTCATTCTTGCCATTCAATTCTTTGTCTCCAGCACATGGTAGAGGGCCTGGTGCAGATATATGGGTACGATTATATCAGGGGACTTCAAAGAGTTGGTGGGAAATAGAACCGAAAGTTGATTTGGGTGCAAGAACTGTTTGAAATCCATGCATAATTTTTTTAAGATACACATTTCCCTTGAACTTTTGGGCAATCCCCAATGTGCATGGATTTCAAAACTTTTTGCACCAAAATAAAATGATCTTTTAATTCAATTTTCCCATGAACTTTTTTGAAGTTGCTTGTACCTCTTCCTGTGCTTTATAGAGCAAGACCCCTCCAACCTCCTGGATCTTCTGTTTTCCCTGGTCTCAGAGCTATGTGACTCAGAACTTAAGAAAAAGAGAGGGATTTGAGCAGAGGTGAGGCATGATCTAGCTGATGCCTTAAAAGGCTTGTTCAGGCTCCCATGCTGGAGATAAAACGCAGGGATCAAAGACAGAAGCAGGAAGACCACCGGCAGGAGGTGACTTCAGGAACGCAGACGAGACCCAGGTTCTGGGTGCATGTGAAGATACAGCTAACGTGATCTCAGGTGGACCAAAGAGAAGTCACCAATGACTTTAAAGATTTTTGACCACAGCAACTGGAAGGATAAAACTGCCCTAGCAAGATGGGAAGGCTGCAGCCAATTCAGGGAGGCAAAACTGAGAATTACAAGAGGTTAATCTTGAGATAACACTAGAGATTCAAGCAGATTGGGGCTGGTGCTATGGTGTAGCTGGTAAAGCTGTTGCCTGCAGTGCCAGTATCCCATATGGGCACCGGTTCCATTCCCAGCTGTTCCACTTCCAACCCAGCTCCCTGCTAATGCAGCTGGGAGAACAGTAGAAGATGGCCCAAGTGCATGGGCTCCTGCACCCGTGGGAGACCCAGATGAAATGCCTGGCTCCTGGCTTTGGACTGGCCTAGCTCCAGCCATTGAGGCCATTTGGAGAGTGAATCAGTGGATGGATGCTCTCTCCCTCTTTCTGTGTCTCTTCTCTTCTCTCTGAAACTCTTTCAAATAAGTAAATCAATCCTAAAAAAAAAAATTCAAGTGAATGGATCTACTCTGCTCCAGCCTTTCTGTCTCCCTGTCTTCTTCAAACATAACAAGCTCCTTCCCACCTCCCGACACTTGCAGGTACCAGTCCCTCTGCTGGAATCCTCCTCCATCACTTGTCACTTCTAAGTTCTGTTACCATCTCAGAGAAACCTTCTCTGAGCCCTCTAAACAGCAGCCTATCTCTCTCTCTCTCTCTCTCTCTCTCTCTCTCTCCTCTGACCTCCCATTACAGTTTGACTGTAAGCGCTCCATGAGCAATCACCTGGTTAGTTCTCATGCACCTGCTTTATCCACCTAGTGCTTGACAGTAAATATCCTGAATGAATGAATGATTGGCCCAATACCTCCAGATGGATTTTTTTACATGGTTTCTTAAAAGGAGATTCTCACACTAATGACATACAACCCACAGTAATAGCACACTGACCATTTTGTTGGACATACAAGCTACAGTGTCTCTCTTTGAAACTGGAGCAGCCAGAGGAATAGGGCATTTCACAGGGGAGGGAGGTTACAGTTATATTAAAGGAAAGTCTCAGAAGTCACTGGGGTGTGGGGTTGCTCCTGTAGCATTCGCTGGCCTACTGCCAAGAACCTTGCCTTGAGAATCCCATCTCAGAGATTAATCACAACACATACCAGGGGTGAAAGGAGTAGCACCACTTATCCACTGACCAGAAGACCAAGTACCTGTCCTGGTGTTCCATGCCCTGGACCACACTGCTGTCATTGGCTAAAGTAGACAGGGAATACATCCATCAGGTTATCAGGGAGACAAGTATGAAAGACCTACTGACCATGAAGTGCAAAGCATGGCTTATAACAATAAGGAGAGCCAAAATGGAAAATTAAATCAAGGTCTCTGACTCCACAGGCTGCGTGTACTAAATCAAGGGTTGACAATCCCAGGTCTTCAAGCACACAGTGTCATTAGCGGCACCATTTAACATACTCACACTTATATTACTTCTTGGCTCCAGAACCAGAGTCACTTTCATTTCCCCTTCTGGGTGCAGGTGGCTGAGATGGAATAATTTCTCTCCCATCATTCTCTCTCGGGTCATCTTGTGGGCAGCGTACAGGCGGAAGCGGACAGCACAGCCAGCCACATCTCTGGGCTCCAGCTTGGTGAAGGTGACCTTCTCCTTGAAGATGGGGTTGGGCCCTCGCTGTGTGCTCGTCCTGCCCCTCTGTTTCTTACTAGGCAGCAGCACCATGTGAACTTGCCAGGAGTTCACACCACTTCGGTCCTTATCCGGGAGACCCTGTGCTCTCACAACCGTGACTGTGAGTTTCTGGCTCACGGCTCTATATTCAAAGACGACATCAAGGTCACCACACTTTGAGATAGGCTCTGGAATCCCAGATGGCACCTGCAGACTGGTTTCATCCTGTTCCTGCTGCCAGCAAAGAAAAAAAGATAAGGTATGGAAATGTTAATGACCAAAATTCTTTGCAGCAAGTTGGCACCCCTCTGTGGAGAATTCCAGGCCTTCTAACTAGGAGCACCCTCCTTTCTACATTAGAAAGCTCTGCTTACATGCCTCTTTGAGGGCATGATGAGCCTTCATAAATGCTTTTTGAAATGAATAAGTAAAGCTTAGATACTTTTGCAAAGTGTTTTCATATAGCTGGGCTCTCAAAAAACAGAACTGCATACTATCATGGAAACCAAGTGGGATGCTATGTCTAAAATTAAGTCAACCATGCACTTCCTAGTAGATGCCTGTTCCATGAGTGTCCAGGAGAAATGGTTGTGCCTGGGCCTGTTCTCCACCGGGCAGAATCTTCGACAGACAATGGAAGCCCATGGCTGGTGATCCTTCAGCATATTTCCAATGTGTATGAGAGAAATGGCTTAGAGATGAGCTCCACAAACTTTAATGTGGACACAAATCAACTAAGGCTTGATTCAGTCGTTCTGGGGTGGGACCTGAGATTCAGCATTTGGAAGAAATTTGCAGGAGATGTGGATACTACTGGCCTTAGAACACTCTTTGAGGAGAAAGGGTTTAGGAGGGCTTCCCCAGCAATAGTTAACTACTACGCAGAACACCCAGATTGAAATCGAACCCCATCACTGACTAGGCTTTTGGCCAAATATCCCAGCCTCTCTGCACTGTAGCTGAAAAATGCACATTCATATGCCCACGTTATAGAGTGTTGTTATGAGGTTTTGCTAAAGATGTAAAGACTTGGCTCAGACCAGACTCCAAAAATACCTACGAGTTCTCCTACCGGGGGACTGGTGCTACCTATGAGTATTTTCAAGGGCAGCTCTGTATCACCCTTGGATAGCAATTCTTTCTGTCTGAAGATCTGATGACTTCACTGGGGAAACCGAGCTGCACTGCCTATACTGTAATGAACTACCCCATCGAGTCACAATGTCAACATAATCTCATTTTTCCCCAGAGGTAAGGATCTTACTTATAACTAAACTGTCCAGATTCATCTTGTAAATCATTTATTATTACGTATTGAACTCCAGACTTTGTAAATCTCTTCAATTCAGATGTTTTAATAAAAACACTTCAAAATGCGCACTCATCAGTAACACTTGCCCACAGAATTCAGGTGAAAGTACATGGTTCTCTGGAAATAGACATCTTTAGGAAGCTCTGTGACACTGGGCACGTTTTTCAATCCTCTCCACTTTCTGTTTCCCTCAACAGTGAAACAGCGAGGGTGCCAACTGCACAGGGCTGTTTTGAAAAGCAGAGAACTTGACACATAGTAGACATCTAGTGAATGCCCTTCTCTTTTGAGATTCAAATTAGCCTGCCAAGAAAATTTAGAATTCTTGTAAAATAAGGAAAGCCTCAGATACCCATTTTTCTGAGTATGCAATCATGTGTGAGTGTTTCTATTCAGAGGTACTTAGCTTCCAGTGATAAAAGTGGTTGCCATAGAGACTTCTGAATACAACGAACTAGCGTATATATAATATTAGAAGCAAGTCTCCAAGGAGTTAGGCCAAGTCTAAAACTCCCCTCTCTCTTCTTAAACTCTATTTTAGTCTACTCTTGATCATCTCTACTGCTTGCCTGGTCATCAGTAATGACAGCTAACATCCATTAAACCATTCCTTATGCCAAGAAGCATATCTAATGCTTTATTGATTATAACAAGCAGCTCTTATACATTCAAATCTTCTTGGCTCCACTTCTTGTTTCATCTTCCCCTTGTAGGCATAGCATATCTTAGTTCTAAGTGGTTTCACCTTGGCATAATCCAATAAAGTCTTACCTCCTGCCCATATGCCATAATTCTCAGCTCTCACTACTGGCCTCTCTGCTGATGCCAACGAAGAGAAAGCTGCAGAATCCTGCCTGGTAAAATGCAGGCAAAGCCCAGCATGTGCAGGGGTTAACACCCCACGAAGTCAGCTTTGTCTCCTTGGATAGATGAGACCAGTTCCTAAAGCTTCCTGGAGTACAGCCCCAGAAGAAGCAGTAATTAGAACAACAGGTGCCCAACTCAGACACACATTTTCATACCAGACCCTCCTTCTTCCCTGCTCACTCCCCTTGTCTCTCACTCTTGGTCCCTGGAATCACACTCCAAGCGGTTTTATATTAGGCTCTGCTCTTTTGGTGAAACTAAGAAAACATTATCTTTTTTTAAAAAAAATTATACCAACCTAAAGGGGATAGACATTATACCTTCAGACATTTAGGGAGGAAACTAAAGCTTGGAGGAGCTGAATAACCAACACGCTCCCTTCTCCCGTGTCAAGGTCACGTGCCCAGCTGGGATCAATAGTCTGGGTCCGTAGCCTGCCTTAACCAGTATTCAGTATTCAACACTCAACATTCCAAATCTTATCCTGAACCAACCACAGGGTCTCCTTTCTTCTCCCATAAGACTTTTACCACGGCTGATGGTTTGTATATGGAGTTGGTGAGAGGAAGGAGGAAGAACGGGGAGGTTGGGAGTGGAAAACACAGTGCTGTGAGCTCCACAACCTTCAGAGCTCCTCTGTCACCAGCTTCAGTACCAACGTAGAAACACCCCAGATAATGAGCACCTCGCCACGTACCTACTCAATGAATGGGCACTCCACCAGCAGGTTTCTGGGGGAGCCCTGGGTACAGTTCTGGGGAACTTCCCCAAGAACCCTAAAGTAGACGCAGCTTGGGCAATGGCCAGGCTCTGGTGGGCCCATCCAAGCTGTGGCCGGTGGACACGGAGCTTTGTGGCCCCTTCCTGGGTTGATCTGAGACAAAGGTTTGGGAAGTCTGGTGTTTTCGTAGCAATTAATTATTTCAACACACATTACCTATCACCAGGCAACCAAAGGAGCTCCTCGTGTGGGTACTGTTAATCCTGCTGACCTTCCTGCAAGGTAAAAATCTCTCCATTCTTATCCCCATTTGGCGGATTTTAATTAACTTCTCAAGGCCAACCAATTAATCAGTGGAAAGTAGGGATGAAAAGTGGGACACCTGCCTCCCAGTGTGCTCAAAATCGCCAACCGCCCTCCCATCCTCTCCCCTGCCAAGCCCTGTGGCTGCAGGGAAATGTCAGTGGCCTCTGCCAACAGAGAAGAGCGGCTCTGGAAAATCAGTCAGCCTAACAGGTGGCCGCACTGTGTGACCCGCTTCCTTCCGAGGCAGGATGAACGACTCCTTGAGCGCTCATAGACTGGGTTTTTCTTTGAGACAGGAATACCTGCGTCAAATTGTCAAACCTCCTGTGGGCTTAAAGATTTTTCTGTCCAACTGAAAACGCTGTTTCTGTAAGATAGTGTTGATGTCACTTGTGTGGCCCAAAGGAAACAGACCCACAATAATGTCCCTAGTGCCAAGAGCCGGGAGAAGACAAGGTTCTTAATACAGCCAAGAGGCAGATAAATCAATTCTTAAAAGGCGAGCTAAGCCTGCAAAGCAGGCAGTTACAGGAACTGCCTCCGAGCTGGATTTGAAGTTCTAAGTGTAGGAGCACCAAATTACAGTTTTCGTCTCAAAATAGATAGGAAGTTGAATGGAGCACACAGAGATGTCTGGGTATTTTTGGAGTCTGGGAACATTCAGTACCCTCTGCACTAAGTGTTCTATTAAAACTCCAGGAGGCAGGTAAGTGGGAGGTTACGTGGAGATGGCAGCTCCCAGCCTCATGGCACAGTTATCAGAGAGACAGAGCACCAACGGGCAGGTAAACAGCTCCGCCTGGCTTTATGGTGAGGGAGCCCAAAACGATGTTTTTAAATGTTATTGTGAGGGACTGGATTTGGACCAATGGGGAGGAAGCAGATTTTGTATTTTTCACAAAGCTGACAAGGTTTGCTGTCTCCGTATGAAGGGCTGCTTTTCACAAGACACGAGCCACATATCTGGCTTACCATTTCTGGTTCTCAGCAGAAACACCCACACGGGGGCACGAACGCCCATTCGTACGCCACCTTACACACTCCAGGCACAGCTAAGGTGGCAGCAGTAAAGCTTCAGAGTGTGAATTTTCTGGAATATTTTTTCTTTTCCCCGAGCGTTTCAAGTGTTGCAGTTCAGGCAGACTCTAACAAAAGACCCATCCTGGATGTTTTTTTCAGACTGATGCCAAGAAAGCCCCTTCACCCTTCTTCTCCTTCCTCCACCCCCACAAATGATACACCTCCATGATTTATTTCCTCAAAACTAATTTCAAATTGGGTATTGAACTCCACTATTTAATGCCTTCCAATGTGATGGAATCATAAAAGGATGAAATATTTTGATGTAGAATAACCAGAAATGCCTGTAAGATAAATCAGTGTTATTACAGTGCCCAGCATGTACTGACTGCTCAAGAACTGGTAGCAACTTCCATCATTACCCCGGGCATATCTCTGGATGGTGAGTCATATACTGGGCTGCATTGTCAATGGAAAGAAATTTAGAAGACATTTATGAGACTTTTATTCCAAAAAGCAACATCGATGGCCATCTCCATGTCAACCCAACTCAAAGCCTACAAATGTACTCACAGTAAAAAATCTTCATCACAATTTGTGGAGAATCACTTTGTTTTAGTTCTTTCAAATAATTTTCAGAGTCAAATAATCGTAAGTGCTGGTTTTTGCCCTAGCTGCCGTAATGTCAGTTAAGATAGCTATGCCCTGTATTGGAAAAACTGGGTTCAATTTGCACATTCCTACTAAGGCACACACTGGGAAGAAGTGGTAATGGCTCAAGTGGTTGGGCTCCTGACATCCACATGGAAAACGTGCATTGAATCCCCAGCTCCCAGCTTCACCCTGGCCCAGCCCTGGCTGCTGTGGGTATCTGGGGAGTGAACCAGTGGATGGGAGTGTTCTCTTTCTCTCTGTCTCTGCTTTCCTCCTCCAACCCTCTGCCTCTCTCTGCCTCTCCCTGCCTCTGCTCCTTTCTCTCTGTGTGTGCATATGTGTGTCTGTCTGTCTCTATCGTTATTTTTCAAATAATTTTAAAAGAATTTTAACATCAAAACTCAAGAGTTGTGACAAACACAAATAAACTCCACTTCACTTGAAACCCTGAAGGAAATAAACCAGTTTCCCTAAAGAACCAAAGAACCCTCTTTACAAAATGCTGCTAGGAAAGTCTTTAGAAGGGGAAAAGCCCAACAGCTGTTGAAGTTCTAAGTGTAGTTCTAAGTTGAGTCTATCCTGCCACATTCTTGTTATGCTTTCCTTTTCCTCACCACTCTTTGTTTTCCATCTTGAATGAAATTAATTTATTTACAATTCTTTTATCAACACACATGGGGCTTGGGTCATGGGAACAGAAAGCTATTTCAAGTGAAAGAGCTTTTGTTAGGTCTTTGGTTTTCAAGGGGATGTTTCCTTTCTGGAGAAATTCAGGGGAGAAGGGGACGAGGATGGAGAGGACAGGTGGAACCAGTGAGTGTGAGGACAGAATGCAGAACAAACAACTCGCCTCTGGACTCCACATGGAAGAGCTGTCGGTGGCGTAGGGATCCTCCAGGTCCTGAGTATTGAAAGCTCTGTCCCTCTCCAAGCTCCCCTCTGCGGACTGGCGACTGGGGCTTCGGGCCACGCATGTCTCTTGGCTAGATGCACCATGGCGCCTGGTATCCCCTGTTTCACATGAGGACTGTGAGCGGGCAGTGATGGGGGAATCTTCACCATATGACAGATTCTCAGGATAACTTAGCTGGCTGGCTCCATCCAAATCTAGATTTTCAATAAAAAAAAAACTATTTCAAAATCTTTTATTTTTACATTTTTTCTTACCTACAGAAATTCAGTCACTGCAATGATTAAGACCATACAAATAAAACTTATTCCAATAATGTCTGCAGAAGTATAACTCCATCAATACAGTGGATAAATTTGATCTATATAATCAAAAAGGTCACTAGCAGTTTATGTGGGGTACAAGAAGATTTAATGCTTTGTAATACTGTGAACACAAAAAATGTATATTTATATCAGAAGGATAAAATAAACACATTACCATTATGCTGGAGTTAATGACCGTAAGGCTTCGGGGAAAGATCCAGAAAGCAAAAGCAGTCATATGGAGATCACACAGTCTCCTGTGTCACTTCTTCCTTTCGTTCTCTGTATTATTCTCTGCTCAAAAGTCTTCAGTGGTTCTCCGAGTTATAAAGTCCTTTACTCGGGCCAGGCGTTTGGCCCGTGGTTAAGACACCTGCATCCCATATTGTAGTGCTTTGGTTTGGCTCACGGCTCTGCTTCTGACTTGAGCTTCCTGCTAGTGCAGATCCTGGGAGCTGCAGTGATGACTCAAGTGGGTTGGGTCTCAGCCTGAACCCAAGTGCAAAGGCTGGACTGAATTTCTAGCTTCCAATTTCAGTATAGCACAACTCAGTCTGTGCTGTTGGCAGGTCTGGAGTAAACCATTGGGTGGAAGTGCGTACCTTCTCTCTCTCTCTCTCTCTCTCTCTCTCTCAAAGGAAAACAAATGTTCTTTACTTTATCTATGGAGAGAACACTGGACTTGGATTCAGATAATCTGAGTTTAAATCCTCTCTGCTTTATGAACTTGAAACTCTAAACCTCTGATTTCTTACCTAAAAAGGGATAAAAAGCCACCATAGGGCTATTGTGGCTGTGTAAGTTCATATCACCTGGATCCCAGTAGACATTCCATAATTGTTAGCCTTGCTTACATCTCTGGTTTGAAATGGCCTCTTCTAACCCATCACATCCCATTTTCTACTGCTTCTTAACTCATTGCCACCCGTGGTCTCACTGGTTCGTGAACCTGTAGTGATGCATTTCTGTCCACAGCGGTATTCAAACCCTCCATCCTGTCCACCAAGCCTCAACAATCCTGAGCCTTCTGACTCTACATCAAAGTTTTACTCTGACATTAGTATTATAGTCTCTCTCTCTCTCTCTCTCTCTCTCTCTCTCTCTCTCTCTTTGTATCTACCACACACACAGCCTGTTGGTCTTACTCTTCCACCTCAGTGTCTAAGTTGCAATCAGAAGGCAAGGAACAGCTGATGGGGTCTTCCTAATCGGTAGCCTTCCCCTTGATGTGGCCCCCATACTCCAAGACCAGCAAAGGCTGTCTCACCTCTTTGGCCTCCAGCAGCCAATATCACAGGATGAGAGGAAATCATAAATACAGTCGGGACGAGGATAGCAAAGTATGTCATAAGCTCGGTTCTCATGTGCATACTGTACATAACAATCATTTCTCCCGTTAACCTTTTGGAACCTCAGCTAGAACATAAGCTCTGCATGCGTCCACTGCCGCTACTTTGTCTGCTGGTGAGCTCTCACTACACCTGCAAATAACTTTAACGTCTGCAGGCAACAAGTTTTGAAGCAGCCAGGTGTGCCCCAACACAGAGTGAGGGTGACAGTGGTTTACCAGAGAATATATGACCCATTTATAATAAGCAGTCAGACTTGAAAATCTATCATCACACTATGCAGACCACATGAAAACATCTTCAGGCTGAGCTGGTCCTCGGGACACAGCTACAGACTCCTGAATGGGGACTGCACAGCAGGCCACTGAGAAGTGTGCACTGGAAGAATTCAGATCAGCTCCCTTGGAAACACTCTCCTGTGACACCACAACATTTTTACATTCATGCTCTGAGCTATTTGGCAAACACACTACAAAAAAGGCTGCAGAAAATGACAGAACAAGGGAAACTCCACATGCAGAAACCTACAATATAAAGCAGAATTTTCTTCCAAGCCTCTAATTAGCACACCCATTCCTCACATACATGAACAGTAAAATGTCCTATTAAACAGTGGGCCATCCATCAACATGTGTAGCACCCAGCAGGATTTCAGCACAAAATCTAACTTTGCCAAGAAATTACCCCCATAAAATTGTCTCATGGCTTTAACTCCTACAGTGATAATACCTAGATCAGTAATAAGGGAATTTTCAACAGCTACATTAAGCCTTGAAAAGCTATTCATAACTGAAAAACATAAGAACTGTATTAATGTAACAAAGCATTTTCCATGACAGAGAAGCAAGAAATGAAGTGGAAATGCAGATTGGGGTACAAGTCAAATTGCAAGGAGGAAAAAAGGGAAAGATGGTCCACCTTTACATAAAGCAGTCTCCCCAAGGCTTTAAATGAGAGAGGATCCTGTCAGCTCACACAGAAGCATGAAAGTAATTGCTTATTATCAGAGAAATATATCCTGGCTTCTTAGACATAATAGGTCATAGCTGTGTCATATCGATCATATTTATTTTAGCAGAGAAATTCTTCAACTTGTTTACTCCGTATCCTACTTTGGTGAAATAAAATCCCTTTAGCCACTCACTTCCTTTCATACTCCCAACTCTTCCCTCCCATCACCTGCAATATACAAAGACTTTGGCTTACCCTCTGTGATGGTTGGTTTTATAAGTCTACGTAGCCAGGAGTAGGTGTCAACCATCCAATCACACATTAATATAGGTATTTTGCAGATATGGGCATTTGGCCCGGCTGCCTGGAATATGCACATCCCTTATTGGAGTGCCTGAGTTTGAGTCACAGAGCTGCACCCAGTTCTGAGTTCCTGCTAACATGAATCCTGGGAGGTAGCAGGTGATGGTTCACATGGTTGGGTCCCTGCTACCCCTGTGGGAGACCCAGATTGAGTTCTGGGCTTCTTGCTTTGGCCTAGCCTGGGCCATTGCAGGCTTTTTGGGAACTAAAGTATTGGATGGGAGCTCACTCGTTAGCTCTCCCTAGCCCACCATTTCAAATCAATCAAAGAAATATTGTTAAAAAGAAAGTAATTTTGGAATTGTAATTAAAGCTCATAATCAATTGATTTGAAGTAAAAGAGATCATCCCTTACATAATCAGTCAGTTGAAAGACCTTTAGAGAACTGAGGTTTCCCTGGAGAAAAAGAACTTCCACTGCGGAGTTTCGATTTTTGCTAAGACCTGAGACTCAGCCAGTCTTCCTGTGGGTTCTAGGGCTGCACATTTCTGTTGTCTAGCCAGCCCCTATGATCACATAAGCTAATTTTTCACAAGAAGTCTCTTGAGACACCTATCTTCCACACACATATATGTGTGTAGGCACATGTATGTATGTATGGTTCCATTTCTCTGATTGAACCTGATTGATGTACCATCCCAAACAAAACTGAACACAAACCCTGGGGAAACTGAGCTGTTGGGGATGACACCAGGCAGGTACCACCTACCTTTTATGAAACATCTTGGGAATTAATTATTCTTTTTTTTATTATTTATTTGACAGAGTTAGACAGTGAGAGAGAGAGACAGAGAGAAAGGTCTTCCTTCCGTTGGTTCACCCCCAAAATGGCCACCATGGCCGGCGCTGCACTGATCCGAAGCCAGGAGCCAGGTGCTTCCTCCTGGTCTCCCATGCGGGTGCAGGGACCAAGCACTTGGGCCATCCTCCACTGCACTCCCGGGCCACAGCAGAGAGCTGAACTGGAAGAGGAACAACCGGGACTAGAACCGGTGCCCATATGGGGTGCCGGCGCCACAGGCGGAGGATTAACCAAGTGAGCCATGGCGCTGGCCCCGGGAATTAATTATTCCATACACAAAAATAAGGTTGGCCGGCGCCGCGGGCTCACTAGGCTAATCCTCCGCCTAGCGGCGCCGGCACACCGGGTTCTAGTCCCGGTCGGGGCGCCGGATTCTGTCCCAGTTGCCCCTCTTCCAGGCCAGCCCTCTGCTGTGGCCAGGGAGTGCAGTGGAGGAGAGGGCTGTGGCCAGGGAGTGCAGTGGAGGATGGCCCAGGTGCTTGGGTCCTGCACCCCATGGGAGACCAGGAAAAGCACCTGGCTCCTGGCTCCTGCCATCGGATCAGTGCAGTGCGCCGGCCGCAGCGCGCGGGCCGCGGCGGCCATTGGAGGGTGAACCAACGGCAAAGGAAGACCTTTCTCTCTGTCTCTCTCTCTCACTGTCCACTCTGCCTGTCAAAAATAAATAAATAAATAAATAAATAAATAAATAAATAAATAAATATAAAAAAATAAGGTTACTATTCAACAAAAGATCAGCCCCAGAAATGGACTGCTGTTTTGGAGACCACCTTTTATGCCTAAAAGCTCTATCACAGCCTCTGACCTGGACTCGCAGAGCATTATTAAGACTGCAATGGCGAGTAACATGCAAAAACGTTCTATCTGAAATAGAACTTGGAAGAGAACTTGCTTGGAATATGTTTCTAATCACCTCACCACTGAATCAAGAAAGACAGATCTCACTTAAGATAAAACATGAGACAACGTCGCCAGTAGTTCATTCATAGTTTGCATTTTACTTAGTCCATGGACATTATTTTCACTAAGACTTTTGAATGCATTTTTTAAAGTGGAATAATTGTCTACAATTAAATGTGATCACAAAGGGCTATGTTTACAGTACAGTAAAATAGCTTCATCAATAGAGGACACACTGAACAAATATCCCTCTGCGTTATGCAATTAATCTTTTCATTTTTCTTTAATAATTAAATCAAGTTAACTGACATAAGATGAACAAAAAAGAAATAACACAGAAAGAAAAAAATCAAGCAATAAAAACTCCGTTAATATTTCCAAGGCATTTGGTAACCAAACATTTGGCATACACCTATTCTTAAGAAAATCCTGCTGATTTTCTCCTAAGTCTACAGGTAATTTAGGCAGTGTGGTGCACACTCGTCCTCTCTTCAATAGAGAAAAATGTAGCTGTTCTATCACCATCTGTCAAAAATTCAGTCATGACAAGAGATAAGTTATTGCTAATTCCAGGAAGGGTAAGGGTTAGCATGGTTGTCAGAACTCTCAGAACATCGGCTATCTGTGTAAATCAGAAGCCAGACATTTGGGCTTCTGGGAAATGGGGCCATTAGCTTTGGAATTAAACAAGCAACTCCCAGGGAATCAACTGCTATTAACTTTCATTAGCTAACATTTGCCCTCTCAGTGGAGAGAAAGGAAGCCTGTGATCTAACACCAGAGAAAGAAAAGCCAAGAGGGGAAAAGGCAATGACAAAGGCTCAGCACATAAATGGAGAAAAAACCTGGTATTGCAGTTTGGTTACATGAGGCCTACTCTGGGCTGAAAAGAATAGCAGTAAGATATATCACGTTGGTTCACATCAATAAGCCAAACTACACAACTAGAGAGAGAGTTATTCCTTGTGCAGGGGTCCCTTTGTCAATTCTGTTTTTTCCTCTCTTCCTTTTCTGCCTGTTTTTTGCTCTCATCATCAAATTAAAATTTCTTCTCTATTATCTTCTCTCAGTTTCTGCAATCTCCTCTGTGCGATGTTGAAAACAAGGAAGATCTACGTGTAAGGCCCCTGGTGGCTGGACTGATCATTCGCCCATGAGGAAAAGAAGGAAAACATTAGGTCGACAGGAGACCAGCTCATGAAGGTGGATGGTTGATGGCTTTTAACCACACACACTACCTAACCCTTCCCTGTTCAATGCCTGTGTCTATTCATGGCTCTTCGCATAAAGGTGTCAGAGACACACCCAACCTCTCCTTGGGAAGGCACTAGAAACAGCCCCCTTTCTCCAGATTGTTTTGTCTCATTTTCTTCTCCTCTCTGGACTGTCAGATGCAGAGTGTAGCAGTTAAATGACTCAAAAAATGTTCTTACCATTGGCCATTCCTGATCTAGATAGAAGAAGCATACGATACAAAAATTACCTTCATAGGCAGACACTGCGGTGCTATCTTCTTCACGGTTAGAGGGCAAATGGTGGAATTTCTGTTTCCGCTCCAATCCTGTCTGCTTTCCTTCCTCAGAGGTCCCTGCACGGAAACTCTGAGACCGGGACACAGAAATCTCAAATTGTTTGATCACCTCCTCGTCGCTGCCAGAAGATGCGGACAGCTCCTCATCATCCCCAAAGCTGTTATCTGAGAGCAACAACAAGAACCAGGAGTCTTCGTGAGTGGCATGAGATCCAACACAGGGACAGACAACATGGGAGAATGAAAGAGAAGAACATGCGTGATTCGTCTGGATCAAAGCAGAGAGAAAGAATTTAATGCGCTTTTGAAACACACATTTGAGTCCAAAGGGATGCAACAGGAAAATAATACTTGTGAAGGGAATGAGAAATATATGGTGAGAGCCCAGCAGAAACCACTGGGACACCCATCAGCCACATAATGAGTCCTGCTGATGTGTTTCGCTGCTTCTACGTGCTCATAACTGAGACGAGGACATCCATCAGCACAGTAGCCTTATGTGCAGTTCCAGTCAACGACGGTGGCAATACGCTCCTGCTCTGATCTCATGTATTAAAACGCACAGAGCCAAGTCCCACTCCAGAGAGACATTTGCAACCAAGATTTGCAGAAAGCTTCCCAACTTCTGAAAAGAGACTCACAGGGTGTGCGTTTTAAGTAGTTTATACTTAATGTTCTGAATCTTCCTCAACATCAATGATCCAACCCAAATGCCTCTATAATAGCGGTTGTTTTGATACGTTTGCTTGTGCGCATTTGCGGTTTGCAAGATACTGTGGGGAGTATATAGAGACTGGAAACTACTTGCCATAATGAAACAACCTATCTATCATCTCACATAGTTATTTTTGTGACAACTGCTAAAATCTACTTATCTAACAAAAATCTCCAATACAGTTTCATTGCCTATATTTCCCATGTACCTTGGAGTGACAGATTTGTCCATCCCACATGTTGCCTGTTTTGCACTGATTGACCTACATCTCCTCATTCCCCTCTACTCCACCCCTGGAGACACCTGCTTCATTCTCTACTTCTGTATATTTAACATTTTTTTCAGATCCACCTCTAAGTGAGATCACGTAATATATTTCTTTCTATATCTTGCTTATTTTACTTAGCATAATAGACTGGCCTCCCAGTCTATCCAGGTTATAGCAAGATTTTATTTTTTTCTAAAGCTAAATAATATTCTACTGCATTTGCAAGGGATCTTCAAAAAGTTCATGGAAAATGCATGTGGTGAAAAATAATTCTGAATAGATTTCAAAGGGTTTTTTTTATACACCAAAGCAAACTTCTTTTAATTCCACTTTTCCATGAACTTTTTGAAGTGCCCTTAAATATAAGCACAATTGCTCTACCCATTCATCTATGAATAGACGCTTAGGTTGTTTCTGTATCTTGGCTACTGTGAGCGATGCTGTAATGAGTATGAGAGTGTTTTATAGGTGGTGAGTTCATCTCCTTTGGGTATACACCCAGATAAGGGACTGTCTGGTCAGTATTCTATTTCTAACTCTGATGGGAACCTCTGTACTATTTTCCACAATGCTGCACCGATCTACAATCACACTCAAAGTTCACTACAGTCTCCTCTACTCCACACTCTCACCAACCCTTGTCTTCTGTTTGATCATAGTCTTCCTAATGAAACACCTTTTGAATTATTTACACACGTTCCTTCCAAAAAGCCTCAGGAATGCCAACTCAACACCTTCCACAGACCAGCACACTGGCTCTCCTCCAGTTGCTCCAACCCACTGACATCATCCGTCCCTGACGTTCAGGTCTTTGTTCCCTGTTCCTTCCGACTTTCCCAGAAGCTCACACGACTGGCTCTGTCATGTCTCTGGCATCTCAGCTTGACTGTCACATCATCCTTAGGGCTTGTCTGATCACCCTCCCTTAAGTAGTTTCCTTCATAGCATCGCTGTCTATTTCTGTCAGCCACTAGGGCTTTCAGGAACATGAAGACATCACCTGTTTGGTTAACTTTGGTCTCCCCATTATATGAATCAATACCCATTGAATAGCAACTACTTAATAAAGCCTGTTAAATGTTGGATAAATTGGTGAAGACACAGTGCTCTCCCAAGCCTGAACAGCCACACAGACATTCCACATACTCTTCCCTGAGCCTGGAAGGCTCTCCTCCAGCCCCCATCTAAACAAGTCGAGGATCTAGCTCATCACTGAGGTCTCACCCACTCCACATCACATATTCTGCAAGGTCCTTCCTGGGTTCCCTAAATCAGGTCAAGGGCTCTCTACTCGTGTGCTGCATGAGCATCCTCTGTTCTCTGTGGTTGATGCACCTGCCTGCTCTGTGGTGGTATCACCTATCTAACTGCCAACCATTCCACCTGACTTGAGTCAGGTGGTGAGGGAAAGAACACACCAGACTGCCCGCCCTCGCCTCCAAACCCTATCTCTGCATGACTCACATAGTAGGCCATGGTAAATATTTGCTGAATGTGAATTGAGAACTAAAAATGATGGGCGGGGTAAATTATTTTAATCACTTCTTCCTTCTATTCAAAAGTCAAACAGGGATTCCAGAGACAAATACGGTTATTGAGCCAAGGTGGGTCCTGATCATCGGGTCTGAACTAGAAACTAGAGAGACATAAAAAGCTACATTGTAAGCAAGACAAATACTCTTAAGCAGCATCTGGTCAAATCACTGATTGTCTGGCTTGGTTAAGAGTTCGCAGTCTTGGCCAGCACCACGGCTCACTAGGCTAATCCTCCACCTGCGGTGCCAGCACTCAGGGTTCTAGTCCCTGTTGGGGCACTGGTTCTTTCCCTGCTGCTCCTCTTTCAGTTCAGCTCTCTGCTGTGGCCCAGGAAGGCAGTGGAGGATGGCCCAAGTGCTTGGGCCCTGCACCCGCATGGGAGACCAGAAGGAAGCACCTGGCTCCTGGCTTCAGATTGGTGCAGTGTGCCAGCTGTAGCGGACATTTGGGGGATAAACCAACGGAAGGAAGACCTTTCGCTCTGTCTCTCTCTCTGTCTAACTCTGCCTGTCAAAAAAAAAAAAAAAAAAGAGTTGGCATTCCTGAGACTCTTTGGAAGGGTAGTAATAGTAACCAGCACTCAGTGCATGCTTCTATTGGGTACTGTCATAGTGCCTTATGCATATTTAATCCACACCATGTAAGACTGAGGCAGTTGGGAGATTACTGACATCATAAATAAGAGTGTCAACTGTTAAATCAACAACGGGAGTCACTGTGCACCTGCTCCCCACGTAGGATCTCTGTCCTATGAGAAAATGGTAAAACTACTAGTCGAACAGTACTCTATATCTTGTGTGGTTGTGTGGGTGCAGTCTGTTGAAATCTTTACTTAGTATATACTAAGTTGATCTTCTGTATATAAAGATAATTGAAAATGAATCTTGATGAAGAGTGGGATGGGAGAGGGAGTGGGAGATGGGATGGTTGCTGGTGAGAGAGAGGTTATGGGGGAAAAGCCGCTATAATCTAAAAGTTGTACTTTGTAAATTTATATTTATTAAATAAAATAAAACAAAACAAACAAACAAACAAAAAGAAATTGAGGCAGACAGAAGCACAGAACTGACTGAAGATCATACTGTCAATAAGGGGTAGAGCCAAGATTCGAACCAGAGTAGCCTGTCCCTAGCATGCACACTTCTAATCAAGGTGCTGGAGAACCAGCGGAGGCAGGAAGAACTCTTCCTCTGCACACTCACATTGACCAGCTGATGCAGCCAAGTCCCTGATCCTCTCTGGCTCTGCTCCTCACTTGCAGAACACTTCTAAGGTCTGGCGCACTTCCCAGGTCTTTTCTAGTACTAAATTCTCCAACTCCACAGGCATCGATATGCAATCTGATCTAATTTATGCAGCAGTGGTCCAAGAACATGAAAGAAGATCTTTGACATGTCAATATTTCTGGCTGTGTCCAGCATCATGATAGGGATCTGAAAATCTCAGTGCCAGAGGAAACTAGATTTCCCACAAATGCTCTAGCAAACTGCATCAACACCATCCCATCAGAAAACCACCACAGTGAGCAGCCTCCACATTCTTCCGCATGCCGTGGATAGCACTCTGGAATGGGGTGGACCACCACATGTGGGAGAGGTCCAAAAGAAACCAACAGCAATAAAACAAAACTCCCTCTGCCTTCAGAATATTGGAACTAGGTAAGCACCTGGAAGGCAGCCAGAGAGATACATGCAAGGGAGGTGTGGTTGGATTAGACATCTCCTGGATCTCTTTCCAGCTCTGAGATTCCATTCTATTTGTATCCTTAGGCTGGTGTTTAAAATGTACATAGTCTTAAGTCTACTGTTTAAATGGGTTAGTCACCACCACAGAGATTTCACATCTATGAAATTAATAATTCAAATAATTAATTTGTTAGTACTGGGCACTTCAAAAAATTTGTGGAAAATGGAATCAGATGATAAGTTTATCTTTGCTCCAAAGAAGTTTGGAGACCAGTGCATCTGAGATCTTCAAAAAGTTCATGGGGAAAATAATTTATTATGAAAAACTATACAAGCATTTCAATATTTTGCACCAAAATTGAATTCTGTTTTCCTTGAATATTATGAAATACCCTTATATGTGATCCTTGATTTTTCTTCCAGTGAGTGATTCACTGACCATCCACACAGCAGACTCTCACCTGATATAAATATACAGTAACTACAACATTTCCCAGATACTGAACATAAATGCAAGCTGCCTTCCTGGGACTTTGCATACATTACCCCATTTAATCATCACAGCAGCACCAGGAAGTAAAGACTATTATTATTCCCACTATTTAGATAGAAAACTTAACAGAAAGGTTAAGTAAGCTGCCATAATGCAGCAAAGTTAGGAAAGAAACACAGCTAGAACCTAAGTTCATAACCACCATGCACATCATTGGTATCATTGCATCAGGAAACCAGAGCCATACGGATGTGCTCTTTAGAATAAGAACACAGGGGGCTCTGCATGTCTACGGTGCAGTCTACCAAGAGTCTGTTTCCTTTGTGATGGATAAAAGAGGAGCAGGGCAAAGAGTAATCAGTCAGTGTGGGTGGGAATGCATATAGGCAGGCTGCAGTTGATGCTTGATTGTTCTCCTGGGATTATAAACACAACTGCAAATGCTATTCTAAGTCTCACTCCCCCAGG